TAGATTATCAATCTTTAAAAACAAATTTCTTAGCTAATCGTACAATATATATGAATCATTTTTTATATAGTGGATTCTTTAACATTAATCTTTACAAAAAAATTTGTTTGCGCAGATTTTTTAATATAATTACTGCATGATATCTGTAAATGTAACGCGTTCCTTGATTATAAGATCAATTTTTGCTTCGGGTACAAAATCGCAAGTCATCTCTCTACATCTTGAACAAACGAGTCTCAAGAACCTTATTTAATACCAAAAGCTAAAAAATAGCCTTTGTAAAATTTCGCTTTACTATCTCGCTCGTTCCCCGAGCAACAATCTTATAACCAGGGAACGCTATTTCACAAAAAAATGTTTGTAATATAAAAATTATTAATCGTACACATGTAGATTGTAATCTATAAATGCAACTATAGGAGAAGTAATAACGATTTATGTAACACTTACGCGCAGTTGTCATTAATTTAAGATTAATGCAAAATGTGAAAGTTTCGATCAGAGTGGCGCCTGGCCGTGGAAACCAGAGAATAAGAAAGTAAGAGCGTAAAAACCGCAGATATACGTAAGTACTTACGCACTTATGCGCTATTATTGACTATGGTGACGGCGCTACGTGCTACGTAAACTAAGAAATTATGTAAAGGCTACGCTAACAAAGACGATAAGTCACAAAAAATATATCAAAGTTGCACCATCCTATTTCAAAATGACGATATAGATAAAAGTTATCAATTTTTACTCGATGTTTTACGTAACTCTCAATTTCTCCATAATACTTTCTAATGGCATTAATGCTTTGCATTATATTAGCAATTATTGATTTCTCTCTCTCTTTTTCTTCTTTTATTTTTCTTTTATTTATTTTAAATAAAATATTTTTATTAATTATTAATTATTTCTTAAATTAAAAGTTATAATTTTAAAAATATATATTTATAACTATAAAAAATTATATATATAAAAGCTTTTTGTAGTTATAGAAATATATCGTTAAAATTGTAACTTTTATTTTTGCTTCTTTATTATTCACATTTTCAATAATGTGTCACCATTATTATAACTTATATATTATTCAAGCATCTTGACATTTCTAAGTAAAATACATTGGATATCAAAAGTATATTATCAAACCATCTTTATTTCGAGCGCTCAACTATCAAAGACTCAAATAACAATTCAATATTTGTCGAGCATATATTTTTTGCATATTCTAACTTATCTAACTTTCATAAGTTTCATATATCCCCTCATCTCTTCACTCATAAAAAAGTGCCAGCAACACGTTGAAGTAAACACACAAGTTGGCAAATGGAAATATCTATATAAACATTAGAAATGAATAAATGTTGACTTTGTTACATTTCGATACCGTTCTCAGGTATAACCGAGAGAGGTTGTCGCGAATACCCTCTCGCAAGTGGAGCTTTACGAGACACCATTCACAGCACGTGGAAAGAAATCACCAATGCGTACCAATAACGACAACTTTTTCGCGAAGCAGACTCCGAGAGAGCAAACGGCTGCCTCAAGCCGACGTTACACAAGCCGCCTTTCCGCTCTGTCCGGTTTAGCCGCGTGCATTTACCCGTGTTGTTATATGTCTACCTGCCCGCCTGTGTCGTTGCCTTGGCCTTTGCAATTCTCGGAACGATCTTCGCTCCGATCTATCGATCTGCAATCTACGGATGCAGGTACCTGTGCACCGACGTCATAGGCGCCATAGGCTGCCGAAAATATTGGCCGGAAGGTACTTAAGACGGTACTTAAATCAACTGGATATTTTCCAGGGAAATAAATTATATTTTGAAAACGTAAAGAGAGAGAAAGTATGTCTCGAATAATCTTTTTATCGCCAATTTATATAGTACGCGTTAATTAGCGGATGAATCATGTGTTTTATAATGAAGAATATTTTTAGATTTCTAAGAAACAGCGATTAGTAACATTTTCGATATCATATAAGCTTTTTGTCTCGAATATGATTCAGACGTTAAGTGAATTAATATATGTTGAATCTTTTTTTGCTGCGCACCTATACACATACGATGACGTAACACGTTATAATATGGTACAGGATCTGCATTGATTAATTCCACGACTTGAGCGCAGCTTCTTCTGCATCTCGCTCGCCCTGTGACATTTTCATCGTGATATTTTACCTCGCGATTCTCTAATTACATAACTTGAAAGTACAATTTTTTATCACAACGGCTTTTCTGTATTCCACGTATCTCGCGCTCCTTTGACGGAGAATAGAGAAAAATATTCGCGCGCGTTGAGTCATCACGCCATCCTATTCAACATGTGACATTTCCAACACACCGTTTTTCTTCTCATATTATTAAACGTATTAGCAAAATTATTACATATAATCCTGATATAAAAATATTTATTTATACTATGTATTTTCTTTTCTTTTATAATACGCTTTTTTTCTTCGATCATAACATATTAATAACATGTTAAAAAGAAAAGAAAAAAGGATTTTTGAGCGATTTGCTAAGTAAGAGTTAAATTCTTTTTTCATGTTAACACAATACGTTTAAGAATCTTTAGAAATCGATTAATCTATATATTTTATTTTTATGTGCAGTCTTATTTTTATGTCATATCTTTGCAATAAATTGCAAAGTAATCATTGCAAAATTGTCTTTTCTATTCAAAGCTTCTCTTTTCTAAGAAAACCCCAAAAAACCTTTGTATTATTCTAAGAATTTCCTACACAAAAGAAAGAAAAACCCGGCGAACAAAGAGACCGCAGGATACAGTAATAATATTAAAATCTATATCCACTACAGACGCATGTGTGATTCATTCCGACTATGACGTACTGCGTTCGACATAATGACGTTATCAATTTACAGTTGCAGTAAAAATCCGCAATAAAGATTCGAATGACGTTGTGCTTTTAACGCGTCATCGTTGCAGGACTGCAAGTGACGTCAACAACGGGAGACACGAACAAAGAAAGTGAAGATTTCACTTACGCGTGTTTGGACACAAGATCTGTCAAGGAAAAAAAACCGTTTGACATCATACGATACTCTGCGTGTGACATTTCCAGCGTGGCCACTTTTGTGACCTTCGCTTTCTTTGTCACCAAGAAATTTATAGACATTGCCGATTTTAAGTTCGTTTAACGAACAATGCTTTCCGTTTTAGAACGCCTAATCTATGTAGTTATATTTATTGTATTGTTATTCACTTTGTTTACATCTCTGCCAAAACAGAAATGCTATTAAATTATATTCATATCGGATTAAGTGATAGCTATTAGTTCAATCGAAATTTGCGCGTCGAATTGCACAAGACCGAGAGAAAAAGAATTATGCAAAATTAAATACAACTATTGCCTGTGCTTCTCTTCGCCCACTTCTTTTGCGTCTGAGACAGCAGTGCAAGACGTGATGTTGCAAGCAAACACCAGGTCCCTGGCTCTGAGCAGCAACGTTGTTCTGCGCACCACATGGTACGCCCATGCGCTTTTCACGTGCCTTCCCATAATACGAACTCGCATATTCCCATGATAATAGATACATATACGCTACGCATGTGCTAAAAACATCCTCGGGGCTAGCCATTCTCTTTACTTTTATAACCCGTTGTACCCGTTGTATATCTTTTTTTCTTTTTTCTGTCTTTGATGAGTTTTAAAATATGTCGAAATTGCGAACGAAATTATCTTCATGTCGCAATGTTTTCGTTCGTATATTTTCGCATATTTTAATTTTATATGTACTACTTTTCATACCATGGATTGTTACAAGAAATTGTAAAGAAAAATAGAATTATTTCTTTTTGCTAGTTTTTATACAGTCAGAAACGTTAATAGTGTCCGGGACGAGTTTTTACATCAACAGTAAAATTTGTCTTTAATATCTAAGATATCTTTTACACATCATTAATTATATAGTTTAATTGTATCATATTCTAAAAAACAAAAAAATAGTGGGATCGTAAAGTATCATGAAAGGAGGACGCATAGAACACGTGCGATTTTATTATCATGATGTTACAGCTATCCTTTGATTTTATCATCTTATTATTAAAACTTTAAAAAATAGCGTTAAGTATTTAGGATTTAGAATCTCATTATGAATTACTGAAATATTATTTTCTTTAATATTGCAAAAGTATAAAGTATATAAAACGATAGTTTACGTTAAAATCATACATCAAAAATATCTAATAATAAAAGCACATATATCATATATACTAATATCAAATTATATATAATTTCTCAAAAGTATTTAAAATATAATCTATTTTATATATTCACTACTGTTTATGATTTACGTATATCAAAAATATTTATCTTACAAAAAAATCTCGGACTAAAAAAATACACGATAGCAGCATATCGACTAATTTTTGGATTAATCTGGAAATTTCATGTTCAATCATATATATGGTTGTGTAAACCTAGCGGGGGTCTTTCTCTTTTTCTTTCTCATGCACACGCCCTTCACAAAGAGCCCGCATGTTTGATATTTCTGTATATAGCTCAGCCATCATAACGAAAACTGACTCCCATTAGCTGTTATATATTTAGTGGCATGAGAATCTGTTCAGGGTTGAAAACACCTCCCTATGAGAGATTCGACAGTTCACCCTCATGAACCCATATGTTACAACGCATACCATGATATTCCTTAATTAGACAAGAGTCAGGGTTTGTGCCTGTCCTGTACGGTCGATCAGATCTGTGATAAGTAGCTAAATTTTCCTGTGTGACTAATAAATTGGTATTTTCAATTCGTTATCACGTATCAAGTTTCCGAGTTTTCGAGCATGATATAATATATTCGATATATAGTTTAAAATTTATTAAACCATAAATTATATATTTTTTTCTTTTACATAAAAGAATTTTATTCTCTTTTAAAAATTTTAATTGATTAAATGATTAAGAATTAAAATAGTTTTTCTCAGCTAATAAATTCATAAATTGTTCCCTTTTTTACAGAAAAAGATTAATTTTATCGTTTATCACTTACCTCACGAACGAAATTTCTGTTTAACACTTGACCTTTTAATCAGGACTTGACATTGCGTCTCCGTGAAACTGGTGAGAAATCTAACTTCCTGGTCATGCGACTCAACTTCCGGCTTTCCCTTTGCGAAATGTTACTTCCTCTTTCCTCCTAAACGTTGTCTTTGGTACACACACGTTTCTGTAAACAAGTTTATTCCTGTTTTAGTTAAGAAAAAAATAAATTATAATTGATCAAACATAATAACGGTTTCCCTAAACTGATATTGCTTTCGCATGTTTCGTTACATACATTTGAATAAATAAAATATAAATTTTTACTTTTTAATTCTATTATTTTTTTATCATTTAAAAAAAACATATTGATAACAAAATTTAATTAACTTATTATAGGGCAATGATCAACAATATTAATTATATTTTTTTAAAAACATCTTGCGTATTGATAATAGTTGTGATGCTGCATATGCTGATCATATATTATTATATATTATAATTTGCATAATAATACATGTTATGGTCTCTCTCTCTCTCTCCTTGCTTTCGTTAGAAAGAGGTTAAAATATATATTTTTATATCGCAATATATATATTCATTCATGCTTCATTGTTTGATCATTGAAATGCACTTGAATTGTCGAACCGTGGAGACAACTGTATCGCGAGAATAGTTACCTTAAATAATAATACAACAATCCTATAGCTACATTCAGTTCGGATCTATTTTCACGGAGCGTTCTTTTTGAAATAACGGCCGAGTGTGATATTAATGCTTCAACTACGTTTATAAAACATATATCTTGTTTAAAGTACATTTTTTCTGATAAGTGGATGCGATATATAATTACATTCATCCATAAATCATTAAATGCAGAACGTTTTAAAAATCCAACTTTCTTATTAAAAATCTAGTCTTTTCATAAAATATTCTTTTGTTGTACAAAAATTCTTGTATGTGTGTGTGTGTTATAATGTATTTGTATGTATCTGAACCTCTTTATAATATATCTGTTATTATTTTATAAAAAGATTGGTGTAATTTCAAGCCTTTTTCCATTATTTAAAAAACAAGAAAAGTGAGAGAGACAGAGAGAGAGAGAGAGAGAGAGAGAGAAAAGTAATTATAATAATTTATGAAGAAAGATTACTTTGTATTCCGCATAAAGCCATGCGTCGTCCATCGCTCATATTCGAACCCGTGCATTTTGCGAGTAAGCGTGCTGGGGGATGCGACATTACCCCAAATCTACCCCCAAATCTACCCCCAAATCTGCCCAATAAGAAATTCAAACCGCTACCATTGGAGAGCGTAAAAACGTGCACGTTGCGACACTCGAAAAGCCGACGTGCCGACACCGACAGAGAGGACAACTTCACGTGAGCCGAGGGAACGCGTTCGCAAGAGGCGCACGCGCGCACGGTTGCCACGTCGAAGAGCCCCCCCCCCCCCCTTCTAGGTACTAGGCGAGACGCGAAGCCGATTGGTCGGCTCGTCGGCATCGCGGAGCACCCGTCTACATGCTCGCTCGCCGGAGCACAAGCGGCAACTCTCGGTCAGCGGTAGTCTCAGTCAGCTTTGGGAGGCTCTGCTGTAAACATTAAATCGGACGAAACGGACGCAAATAATATCTCCCCTCCCTCCCCCCCCTACAATAACTTTCCGAGAACCCGGGTACTTCGCGTCGACGAAAGAAAGTGCCAAGTTCAAGTTCAGTAACACGTAGACTGAGCAGTATTGTACGCGCGACGTTCGACGACGAAAACAACGACGACATATATCATAAACACGAGAAGGGACGAGTATTATTAACATCACTGTGTGTTGTCGATCTACGAAGAGCCGGTTGATTCGTGCCAGGGAACACGAATCTCGATCGCGTTCTCCATACTCGCTCGGTCGTTCGCGCGCGTTCTCTCGCCGCTTCGACCGCGTTTTTTTTTTCTTTTTTTTTTTTTTTTTTCAACGAGATAGTCTAGAGAAAATGCATATCGTCGTATAACTTTCGACGATGTTTGCAAAATTGTAAATAGAAAAAACACAAGAAATAGAATAAAAAATGCAGAATTTCGGTAATACCAATGATGTGATTCCGCCAATGGTTGTTTCACGAGTATTTCAGTATCACATGTATTTCTAGGAGCTTTCACTCGACATTTTCATCGTGAAAACGATGACCATCGTATCGATATACACGTGTCGATCGGGACACGTACAGTTTCTTCTTCTTTTCCTTAACGTTCTCGCGGGTGCTTTCGATGCGAGCTCCAGCGGCATCGTATAACGACGCATACGGTCGGAGTGGCAGTTTTATTGTGTTCTCCTGAGGAAAGTTTCCTTTAGCCGCGACACGCCGCTGCTAACACTTCTCGGCGCCCGCTGTGAAGGACGAGAGAAAAAGGTAGAAGGATTGGAAGAAAGAGGGCAGGAGAACACTAGGATCACACAGTGTTTTTGTGCGAAATCGAGGAACATGTCGACTGCCGTCATGAGTACTCCCATGTTCGAGTGCAGCGAGCATCTCTTCAAGGTAAGATTCATTGTCAATGGCGATTGGCATATTTTTACATTGTCATTGTCGCGCAACTTATCTAATCGATCAGTCGATCCCTCTAGAACTTTGATTATAGAAATTGCGAAACAATTTGCAAACAAATCGTCTCAGCAAATCTAGTTTCTGTAAATTATTTCGGAACTATAAATATAAATGTTTAAAGCTGTATATATATATATATATATATATGTGACACACGAAAAAGATACAATGGATAGATACAATAGATAGGACGTTCTGCTATGCTTTAATCTTGTATTGCTAAAAAAATGAATGGATCTTAAATTTCTCAAACGGTATTGTGGAATATTTCATGGTGTACGGGCTGTAACTGTACAAGTTCCCTACTGAATTTCTCCGAAATTTTTCTTTATCCCTTACCTTTTTTCTTGCTTTATCCCCGCCTACCCACTGCTTTTCAATTCAAGACAGATACACAGCCGGATATCCACAGGTAGATAGTTGTACATTTTGGACGAACGGAACAATATACACAACCTCGTCGTTAAACTTCGACGAACTCGAATAATAACTTCGTACACGTTCGGTTCAATCTGTTGAATATAAATATAAGAAAAAAATATTAGATTAAATAAACTTGATTTTTTTTTTTTTTTTTT